CCCTGTTGATGGAACTCTTAAAACGTCCCATAAATAATCTCCTTTCAATTTAAACCCTTAAAAACGATGGAAAACAGAGATTCCTCTTCAATTTAACTATTTATGGAATTAAAAATTTGGATTTATCCTCAGCTAAATCCCTATATAATAGAAAGTAGTCATTCCCAGTCAATTAAACCTCATCAAATCATGGAAGAGGAAGGCTTTTCCTTCAATTTAAACCCTTAAAAACGATGAAAAACACAGATTCCTCCTCAATTTAACTATTTGAGTAATTAAAAATTTGGGTTCATCCTCAACTAAATCCCTAAAATAATAGAAAGTAGGGATTCCTAGTTAACTAAACCTCTTCAAATCACTGAAGAGGCAGGATTTTCTTTCAATTTAAACGCTTAAAAACGATGGAGAGCACAGATCCCTCCTCAATTTAAGTATTTAAGGAATTAATAAATAGGATTTATCGTCAACTAAATCCTAAAATAATATAAAGTAGGGGTTCCTAGTTAACTAAACCTTTTCAAATCAGGATTTTCCTTCAACTTAAACCCTTAAAATAGTTTGAAAGACTTTATTCATTCTATTTACTCCTTTACACCCGCAGGTAAAAACCATGGCGCATGCGTGTGTGTGTGTGTGTGTGTGTGTGTGTGTGTGTTGGGGGGGGGGGGGGGGGGTGCTCGTGTCTCTTTAAATCCGCCGCCATCTTTGAAGAGGGCGCGGCTTGGCGCGGGCGGCGAGCGAGGCCGGGCGCGGCGCCGGAAGTGCGTCAGGCGCGGGCGGAAGCGGGCGGGGGCCGGAGGGAAGGTGGCGGCGGCCGCGCCATGGTGGATTACAGCGTGTGGGACCACATCGAGGTCTCGGACGACGAGGACGAGACTCACCCCAACATCGACACCGCCAGTCTCTTCCGATGGCGCCACCAGGTGCGGCTCGGCCCGGCCCGCGGCGCTCTGCCCCCAAGCCCCGGGCCTGGCGCGCCCAGGGAGGCCCGGTTCCCATGGCGACCGGAATTCCCGGGATTCCCGGAGGGACGGGGGAGGCACGGGCTGGGGATCTGTTGTTCGTGGGAGCCCGGGGGTGTGGGGGGCTCTCCGTGTTCCCGCAGGACGGGGAATGGGGGGGGGTGTTGTCCTTTTCCAGCTCCAGGGGCTCCCGTGGGGCGGGGGCTCCCCGCATTCCCGTGGGATCATCCCTGGAGCCCCCGCGGGGAGCTCCGCCATCCCAGCACGGCCCGGTTCCCGTTCCCCATCCCGGCACGGCCCGGTTCCCGTTCCCGGTGCCTCATCCCATCCCAGCCCGTTCCCGGTTCTCTATCCCAGCACGGCCCAGCTCCCGTTCCCCATCCCGGCACGGCCCGGTTCCTATTCCTGGTGCCCCATCCCATTCCCCATTCCCGATGTCCCATCCCAGCCCGTTCCCCGTTCCCGGTGCCCCATCATCAGCCCGTTCCCCGTTCCCCATCCCATTCCCCATTCCCGATGTCCCATCCCAGCCCGTTCCCCATTCCCAGTGCCCCATCCCATTCCCNCAGCTCCAGGGGCTCCCGTGGGGCGGGGGCTCCCCGCATTCCCGTGGGATCATCCCTGGAGCCCCCGCGGGGAGCTCCGCCATCCCAGCACGGCCCGGTTCCCGTTCCCCATCCCGGCACGGCCCGGTTCCCGTTCCCGGTGCCTCATCCCATCCCAGCCCGTTCCCGGTTCTCTATCCCAGCACGGCCCAGCTCCCGTTCCCCATCCCGGCACGGCCCGGTTCCTATTCCTGGTGCCCCATCCCATTCCCCATTCCCGATGTCCCATCCCAGCCCGTTCCCCGTTCCCGGTGCCCCATCATCAGCCCGTTCCCCGTTCCCCATCCCATTCCCCATTCCCGATGTCCCATCCCAGCCCGTTCCCCATTCCCAGTGCCCCATCCCATTCCCTGTTTCCCGTTCCCAGTGCCCCATCCCATCCCATCCCACTCCCCATCCCATCCCATTCCCCCATTCCCCATCCCATCCCATTCCCTGTTCCCCATTCCCAGTGCCCCATCCCATCCCATCCCACTCCCCATCCCATCCCATTCCCCCATTCCCCATCCCATCCCATTCCCCTGTTCCCCATTCCCAGTGCCCCATCCCATTCCATTCCCCATCCCATCCCATCCCATTCCCGCTGCCCCCGGCATCTCCCGCTCCATCCCTGCCGTGCCCAGGGGCTGCTCCTTCCCTCGGGAATCACCTCAGGGTGAGGGGTGGGGGGGGTCCCAGCCCCCCAAAATCCCCCTGCGTGTCCCAGGATGGGGCAGCGACCCCTCCGAGGGCTCACACCCAGCTTTGGGCCGTGGGAATCACCAGAATTCCAGATCCTCCCCAATTCCCTACGGAAAAGCTGCAGCTCCCTGGGGTGGATTTGGGGGTTCAGCCCCTCCTGAACTCCCCAAAACCCCCCCAAAACCCGGGAGCGAGGCGCCCCAGCTCCTTCCCTGCCGCCCCAGGCCCGCGTGGAGCGCATGGAGCAGTTCCAGAAGGAGAAGGAGGAGCTGGATAAAGGCTGCCGCGAGTGCAAGCGCAAGCTGGCCGAGTGCCAGAGGAAGCTGAAGGAGCTGGAAGTCGCCGAGCCGGAGAGTGGGAAAGGGGAGCTGGAGAAGCTCCAGGCCGAGGCCCAGCAGCTGAGGAACGAGGAGAAAAGTTGGGAGAACAAGCTGGAGGAGCTGAGGAAGAAGGAGAAGAACATGCCCTGGAACGTGGACACGCTCAGCAAGGATGGCTTCAGCAAGGTGCGGGTTTTTTGGGGAGAAAAGCCCCCAAAAAAAGCACCCCCAGCGTGTCCTAAATCCCCCAAGTCATTCCCTGCCTTCCTTGGCGTTCCCAGAGTGTTTTCAACGTGAAGGCCGAGGAGAAGGAGGAGACGGAGGAGCAGAAGGAGAAGAAACACAAAACCTTCGTGGAGCGATACGAGAAGCAGATTAAACACTTTGGTGAGGGGGTTTGGGGGGGCTTTAGGGAGCTGGGGGACGCTTTTTGGGGTTCTCCAAGCTTGGGAACACCCCCCGTGGTGGGAGCAACCCGGAATCCTCTCGCTGCGCTGAAAAATTGAGGATTTTGTGTGCTTTTTCCCATTTTTTCCCCCCCGCTGAAGCACAGTTTGGGGGGAATTGGGTTAAATTTCACGATGAGGTGCTCGCCCTCCTGGCCAGCCTCATCCAGGCGGAGTTTGGGGTTTGTTCCCCGGCTGAGGAGGGGGAATTCTCCTGGTTCCCGGTGGCAGGGATGCTGAGGCGCTGGGACGACAGCCAGAAGTACCTGTCGGACAACCCTCACCTGGTGTGCGAGGAGACAGCCAACTACCTGGTCATCTGGTGCATCGACCTGGAGGTGGAGGAGGTGAGCAGTCAGGCTGAAATTGGGGTAAAAATCCTAAAATCCCCAACTTTTGCAAGCTGGAGCTGCCTTGTTCTCACCTCTCCGGATTTCTTCCCGTTTTTCCTGCCAAAAAAAACCCGAGAGGATTGAGGACTTACAAGGCAGGAGAGGTGGGAAAAGATCCTTAAAATCATCCTGTAGAAGCACCCACCTTTCCTTGGGAGAGAGGTTGACACCTCTCCTGCAGCTCCAGGGTTTTTCTGGGATGAGGAGCCCACAAAATCAGGGAATTTGGGATTAATTTGGGATCAAACAGCTCCTAAAGAGCATCGAACCTAACCCAGTCTCATCCTCAATCCAACTTGGGATTCCCTGACCCAAATTGCGTCTTCCTCACCCAAAAAGGGGTTTGGCCGAGTGGGGAATGGGGATTTTGGGGGATTTTGGGGGGGTTTTGACCCCGTTTTCCCCCCAGAAACACGCGCTGATGGAGCAGGTGGCCCACCAGACCATCGTCATGCAGTTCATCCTGGAGCTGGCCAAGAGCCTCAAGGTGGATCCCAGGGCTTGCTTCCGGCAGTTTTTCACCAAAATTAAGGTAAAAATCCCCCCTGGACTCCCCAAAATCCCTCCCTGAGGCCGTGTGCACCCCAATTTCCACAGGTGTAGCCTCAAATTCTTTCCTTTTCCCAAAATCCCTCCCTGAGGCCGAGCGCACCCCAATTTCCAAGGATTTAGCCTCAAATTTTTTCTCCTTTTTGTGGGGTTTGACCAGGGGAGGGGGTTCTGGTGGAGTGGGGAACGGGGTGGAAAAGGGGGGGCTCAGGGGGTGGAACTGGGGGTTTGGGGTTGGAATTGGGGGTTCAGGGGTGGAAATGGGGATTTAGGAGTGGAATTGGGGATTTAGGAGTGGAATTGGGGATTTAGGAGTGGAATTGGGGATTTAGGAGTGGAAATGGGGATTTAGGAGTGGAATTGGGGATTTAGGAGTGGAAATGGGGATTTAGGAGTGGAATTGGGGATTT